AGGGGGGGCCCCTTGCGCCCCTTCACCATGCGGCTTGGTTAGGTGAAATCGCTTGGCGCACGCCTCGGGCATATTTTCATGCGTTTATTATTGCTGCATTGCCTTTTTGGACGCCGTAGCCGAGCCGCTCCCCCCCTCCCCCTCCGCCTCGTCACAAGACCGCGACGACTGCATTAGAAACATGTTTTAAATTTATGATCAAGACACGTGCATTGGCATTTCTTATTGGGCTTGAATTCTGTTTGGGCTGGCGACTTTTCTATATCTACATATTTGTATGAATAATTTGTATATGCTATTTGTTGTATTTATAGTTCCTAATAGACTCGTACGGCCCGAGGAATGGGGTCGCAAACGTGGAATGCAGCGAAAAAGTCCAATCGTGGCGACATCATACATATGTTAATAATTTATTCCTCTTGAATAGTTTTTTAATTTGTTTAGCAATGAACAAATATTAAAAAGCAAAACAAAAAAAACGGCACGCCGAAGATATAATATAAAGCTGTCAAAGACTCTCATAGAATCACACGGCTATTAAGCCGGAGAACAAATACACTTTTTGGCTTGGGAGAAGTCACCATCTATGCGTTACATATTTCATGACAAAATTAAAATACCTCATATAAGAGTAAAATTACAGGTCGAGCGGTATAACGCAAATTTAGCATGGTATGAGTTTTTTTCTTTTACCTTTTACGTTTTTTTCAATATAACAAACTTAAATTAATACAAATAAAATACTCTAATTTTAGTCTCATCTTCGAACTTCAAATAATTTTTTGTAATTTCTTTTTTATTTTCCACAAGTAATCTAAGTTTTTAAGGGTATGCATACAAAACATTTCAAAGATAAAAAACACACAAATTAAATGGCTTCTCAGCTAGATGACAAAAGTATAATATATTTCTGGCTTACTTGTAATACGGCTTAGTACAGATCCTCAAGCCTATATGGTATACATATATATTATGGCCGTCTGTCTGTGAAAGCTTATAATATACAATATCTGTCCGTTCGATATAAATATCGACTTTAAAACAAGATTCTTATCTCGTGTGGCTTTTTTTTAATATATCGTTAAATTAATTTCCCCAAAATAAACTATATACCAGTTAAGTCAATTTTCTAACTTTCTTTTCATTTAGTTCGAGCTCAATTGATGCAAACTCGAACCCTTCATTTGCTTGATGGGCGTCTTACTCAGCTCGTTGTAATGTTCAATATGTTCGAAATTATGCATATCTTTGAATAACTTAAAATGAAAATGTTTTCTAAACAAAAATCCGGAGCCATAAAACTTGTTGAGCTCACATTTTGAATGCAGCTGACACCGGCTTATTTCATTTGCCCAGTTTATGCTATGAATAAATAATTTAATTGCCGTTTTGCGGCCTGGGTGTGGCATTTATAACTTTGATTCCTTACTAACGCCACTGACAAGTGTCGAAAGCTGCGACCAACGCCCGGCTTGTCAGTGCAGCACAGATCGCTAGTAAATTTCCAATGTAACCTTTTTCACGTCTGTTGACAGCCTGTGTTAATGTGTGAAATGGAAATGAGACAGAGGCTGGGGAAAATGCCGAAAAACACATTGAAGTTAATTAAAGAGAACTCAGCTTTTGGCACACCCATTAGCTTGCCAGACACTCGCTTTTCAGACCACAACGTCACATTTAACGTCGTCCACGTCAGCCAATGACAGCCCAACCTCCCCTTCATTCCCCCAACTCTCACTCATACACACACACACACACTCACACCCACATAAAAATCAGAGGTTGTTTTATGACAACTCACGGGCTCCCGCTCCCATTGTCAAAATCAAAGCATGCAAAAATGCGGCGAAACTCTTCAAATATACCACGACTACCAGACATTGCATATTTCCCTTTTGTACCCTTTTTTGTAGTTGAAATTGAGAGGATAGCTACTTTAAAATATTTGACTAGATCGAGACGGAGTGGCTCACACTGGCTCTTAGCATTATTTCGAGCGTATTAAGTCAAATAATATGAATGATTTAATTAATTCAAATAATCAGCAGCAGGCACAAGTAAGAGTGCTCTATCTAGTCTGAAGTATCCAATAAGGAGACATCCTGAACCCCCCGCCGAGCTACCTTTAGAAACATTATAGGTTCCTTCTATACATAGCTACTCAAAAACATTTTATGTGAAATGTATTCCAGAACATTGTCGGCGTTTATGCCGAACTGATATTTTCAGGCCATATATCTGCCACCTTAATGTGTGTACATACCATATTGCATGCCTAAACCTTAAATAATGTTGTTTTGTTTCATCAACTTTGTCTGGGAAATAGAGATTTAAAATTTTTAAATATTCAAAATCTGCGTTAACATGTGAACTTGATGTATCTAGCTCTTGTAATTATCGAGCCATGGCTAAATTCCAAATTTCAAAATCGATTTATATCATCAAACATATATAAAATATATATTATAAATATATCTATCTTGCTTTTGTAGTTTCTAAAATTTTGATCAACTGATCGCTTAGCTCAAAAACATATATACTCATGGGGTCGGAGATGCTTTCTTCTGCCACATATATTTGCACAAAAAGAATCTACCCTCTTTAGCTATATTCAATGGGGTTGTGGTATAAAAATAGACGCATTTTAATTCTTGAATTGCTTCGGGGCTTGTGATCCGATCCAGGAAAACGATGGTGGCATGTGGTCAATAACTAATTTAGTTTTTGAGAAACAAAGTCTTAAAATATTTGTCGAAGAAGTCTCTAGATTTAGATGTTTTAGAGATTGAGCTCAGTATAAAAGTGAGTTAAATAAATGCTTGAAAAATAAATTGGGTAATAAAATTTGTATATACGAATATGAATATGAATTCCTATCTGTAAGTACGGTCGAGTACCTCCCACCCAATACATACTCTTGACTTTATCGCAATAATGAAACTTAACTAATCATTTTTAAAGACATTTCATTACCTGTCCGAGGTATATGTTAATATATATAAATATTTATATTAATGCTCCGTTGTAGTTGTGGTTGTTGTTGTTGTTGATGTGTGAAATCGTCATCGTATGTTCAGATATTGGTTTACTAGACGATTTAAATGGTCAGGGCTTCTAAAATCGTGGTTGCTCTAGGTATTCTCTCTTCAACTTCTCTTCACTTATTGGGTGACAGGCGACGGTCGATTCTGGCACACGGATCCAACCAATTTCACTTCATCAATCAATGCCAGAGACTGCTGTGGAAGAAAGAAGTCCGAGCTTAGCTGTAAGCTGCAAAGCAATTAGAATAATTAAGCATTGAATCGTGTGTGGGGGTTACAGGTGGCCGAGTCTCCAAGTCTCCGAGTCTCCGAGCCTCTGGTGGTCCATTGGACAAGGTCAGAGCTGGCGTCAGGCGCCAAATGGCACGTCACACGAACAGAGCTCCGCGTCCAAGATATGCTGTTGTACTTTTTACAAGTTCGTGTTAATTAAGTCTAGAAAAACATTTGCCATTGTTCAGGTCCAATACAGAAGTCAAAAGAAACAAGTAAGTCGGCCGAAGTCAACTGCAACCGATTGCGCAATGCTCTGTTCAAGGTTGAAGAACAGAACTTTCAGACTGAGAAAATGTATGAAATTGATCAACACTGGACTTCTTGAATACAGTTCTGAGAGCGTGCAAGATACTGATGGAATTAGAGTATAATATGTGGATCGGACATACTTAGGTGTATATATTTCAAGTCTGACGAATCAGACGGGCAGCATACCCTAAGTTAAGTTCGTGCACAGGGTATAAAATGGCTGAATGACTGACTGAATGACTGTAGACTGAAAGAATTTCAATGCCTCCAGACTGTCGTACACAGTTCCCAAGTTTGTTTTCTGTCTTACTTTGAACTTGAAGCTGACGTCGCAACTTCTCCTTCTTCTTCTTCTACCTCTTCTTGTTGTTGTTGTTGTTATTGTGCTTGTTGTGCGGTTGTGGCTGGTGTGTTATACTTGTAGTTGTGATTGTGGTTGTTGTAGGGTTCAAGCAGCACGCGATTAAGTCGTAATTTGTAAACATTTTTAAGTGAGGTGTTTGGGTCAAGTTGACGACGTCGACGACGTCGACGACGTTGAAGACAACGTTGACGGCGCCGTGGCAGGCCGTGAATAAAACAATTTTCTATCACTTGAAACTGTTTAATACAACATTTCTGATGCGGTCGAGGTGTCATTTATTTATTTTGGTATTTCTTCGACACAAGTCAATAACAGAGAAAGTTACTCGATTGTTTAGCAAGTGCTATCGACTTCCGTCTGTATAAACAGACTGCACTTTTTATATACAGAAGAGTGTATTTACATTGGAGTTATTCTCTTATTCTAGACAACCGAAGGCGGAGAAATAGTCGTGGGTAAAAAATGTTTCGTATAATTCTTGAATATCCATTCACGAGTGGGAAGTTCCTTATGAAACAGTTCCTAAAAACTAGAGTACTCATGAATCTGAGGAAAACTTAATCAGCATTAGACTTTTGTCTAAATATTTGTATGGAGACACTCGACTGCAAAGTTCTAAGTTCAACTCTTTAAATAATAAATAAATAAAATTCATTGCAGCATCTGCAATAGTTTAGCAGAGTTTTCGTTAAGCATGCAATTTTGTTGTTAGAACATAATTATATATTTGTCTACCATATGAATATCTTGCACCCATTTTATATTTTGGGCAATTGGTCACCTTCGGCGTTGTTGCAACTCGCATGCCAAACATTGCGCCTTTATTTTGGCTGTTTGCCCTTTTTCCCCAATATGTGCAACATGCTATTGTTGTTGTTGTTGCTGCTGCTGCTGCTGCTGCTGTTGTTGCTGTTGCCGTTTTGCAATCGAAAATGATTCGAGCTGAGCTGATCGCCGGTCTTATGAAATTACCATGTCCAACCGTCCAACATCACAGGCAATCATCCCAGACGAAGTTAGACACACGTGTCCGGTGGCCATTGCACCCATGAGTTCGACTATTGTTGTTGCTGTCGCTGTTGTTGTTGTTGTTGCACATTGCCACATGGGCTCGAGTGTGGCGGCAACAATGGTAAATTGCAGCCATAAGAAAAGTGAAAATCATAACTGCTAATTGTATTTAAATGTGGTTGCCACATTGTGCACTTTGCTTACGTAAAGTCAGAAGGTTAACCGGCTACGAATCGGTAATAACATCTGGCATCGGCTTGCATTGGGGTTTCTTGCACTTTCCCGACTCGAGCTGCAAATAAAAATCCAATTAAATACGCAAACGAAATGCATTTTCTTCGACTTTTACTTTGCATATATCCATATCGCGCGTTACTTAATTGAATTTGTTTTACAGCCGCGTATTTATCGCCTGCTTTTTATTTATTTTTTTAGTGGGGTTCTTTTTGTCATTTCTGCTTTTTATGAAGGCTTTCAATTTTGCTATCCGTGACTAAGCAGCAATAACTAGACTCGGAATCTCTGTCTGAGTCTGGCTCTGAGTCGGTGAGTTGACCAACATCCCGCTGTGTTCTTTTTTTGATTTTTCATTTTGTGATTTATTTGCAAGTCTGATAGGCGCAGCTGTTGCTCTGACGACGCACTCGCACTTCGCCTTAATTTAAAAAAAGAGTGGGTCAAGTGCAGCCAAAAGTGAAATTAATATTTAGTTCCCTTCCATAAAACGGCCAGGATGATTTTAGAGCGTATGACGCAACTTGGGTGAACTTTAATATATCTTATTAATCATATACTGATCGAATTGGCAAATTCTTAGGCTAAAAAACTAGCTGCCGTAACAAACATATGAACTCCCTTTTGTGCCTTCTTCAACAACTTCGGTGTTTGTTGTCCGATCTTTATAAGATTTTTATTGCATTCAAAATTGTATATGTATCTGGGTGCAAGGCTGCAAATCCAAATATTTATTCACAATCGGTTCGCAGCTACATACTGAGTGTAATGTATCTCTAATCTCTAAACTATCTATCGATCGAGCTTTGAAGCAAGCTTGACTTTGGTCCCTAGCTAAGAGGAACAGACTGAAATATTTCTTTTAGATAAAGGCCATGCTCTGAAGTGTGAGTGTGTGTGTGTGCGCATTTCCACAGTAGACCCGAATACAGGGTATCAACTAGTTTCGACTAGAGTACTTGCACTCGTTTTGCATTGCATGCTGGCCTGCTGCATTTTGATTTAAAAATGCTCGAACGATTTATAATTAATTTTTGCATTTGCCAGCAGGTGCACAAATTGGAGCTGCACTACCGCAACCCACACACACTGGACACTGGCTGCGAATATGCACATATACATATATATATGTATATACTGTGTAATGGAGACTGGAGACTGGACATGTACTCGACTGGGCGGCCATTGCGTGTCGCTGTCTGTGTCTCAATCTTCGTCTGGCTCAATTTGAAATGCTCCGCGCTGAACGGAAAATCATTAAAAATGCAGCAATGAAAAATAAATTCCTGTTCATTTGACTGTCATGTCAAATAAATCATAAGACACGCCAAATACCCAAAATACAAAATATACAAAAAAAAAAGCTGGCTTACTAGGAAATCGGCACTCGGATTCGGCACTTTGCGTGCTGCGTGTCTGCTGTTGGTTGAGTTGGTTCAATTTGGAGCTTTTCCAGCTTTTCCACTGAATGATGAAGAGCTAACGGTAAATTATGCTGTTGTCGCCTTGGCCGAAAAATAAGTCCGTCCTGCGATTCGCCGATTCGCTGATTCGCTGCACTTTCCCAGAAATCGAGCAACCGGTAATGTAAAGCTCAGCTCCAGCGCCAGCTACAAGACCAGGCTCTGACTCAGCCCACAATACGTATACGCAATGTTAAGTAGCCAAAAGCTGGTTAAGTTACCAAAGTGCCTGCCACCGCACGTCAGATGTCAGGCGCCGTTTTCTTTCAGCTTCGGCTACAGCTTTTTCGGCTAACAATTTTTGCAACATTTTCCAATTTCCAATTTAACATTTACTTTTTTTTTTTCAATTTTCGTTTTCCATGTTAATGAAACGCTATTTCCTAACTGACCGCTGCCTGTTATTATTCACGCGCCTGGAGTCCATTATCAAAGTGCCGCACTTGACGGGCGTTGGTTGCCAGCAAGCCGACTTTGAATACTCTGCGAATGTAAATATATTTAATATGGTTGTCTAGTCTGTAATTGAGCTGTGATTCACTTCATTTTGCTAGGGTATCCAATGTTCGATCAGGCTGTTTAAATTCCGGGTGAAACAAAGTAGCAAAGTAGTTGCCGTTGCAGTTGCGCACACACTTTGCAAATATTTTCACTTTCACAAAAGGTCTATGTACGCCTCCCCGATTTCCTCTTGTGGCACGTATCTCTGCCGCACCCCGCCATGCGCTGCTCCTCACACCCAAGACCTGGCGCAAGTCGCGAATCGACGGCAAATTGGTACCAGCCATAGACTGTCAGACGTCGATTTGCGGCGTTTTTCACGAGTTTTTAGCTTACTTTTTTTTTCCTATGGGAAATTGTTCGCAGGTGGCTGCTGCCGTCGCACAGGCAAATGGTCACAGATCGGTCGCTCGGCTAGTTCGCCATATACACAGCTCGTTTTGGCTGCTCAGGCCATGGCTGACTGGCCTGGCTGAGCTGTCTGAGCTGCCTGAGCTAACGCCCATGTCTGGTTTTTTTTTTTCATTTTTTGACAGTGCTTCCTCATCGAGGAAGTGTTGCTGCCAATGAGTTTTTGATGATCAGGTTTTGGAACTGATTTTTTAATTGACTACCGTCTTAAACGGAAACTCACCAAGTGCTGGACCTCGCAGTTACCTAACACTTAAAGGCCGCTAGTGACTGCCTTTTACCATAAACCTTTTACTATAAAAAGCCAGCGGTTAGAGGCATTTATACAGTAATGCGAGCACACTCGAGTGCCATATACTTATATGCATGCAGAGCTCGAAGTCGCAGAAATGTAAATATATATATAAAATAAGAAGGCAGACTGTGGAATGCTCTGTTCTTAGCAGCTAAAGCAGCAGCAGCTAAAGTCGAAGGGGGTCTTCGTGAAATTGATTATTGCTGACGCAAAGACTGTTTGGAAATATTTTATTTATTTTGGCATTTAGTTTAGTTTACCTGTCAAGTATTGCGGCCGCAATTCAAAATATTCTTCCAGAAAGTACGTTTATGCTAACAGATAAATATACGGTCGAACAGCAAGATGGACATGGCACAAAAATATGAGTTTGAAGCTCTTCGAATAACGTACAAGAAATTTCATTCGACGTTTTCTACAAATCTGTCGAGTAATATTTTCAAATACCATAGCTTTTGGTTTCACAATATTTACCAGTTTTCTATTTCTTAAAGATCTCGCAGCTATTTTGAAAAATACAAATAAACCATCCCATTTAATTTTAATTAATTCCGTAAGGCTTATTATTTCTTTTTGGCTACCGCAATTTTAAACCAAGTCGTTGTTGTGCCCTCATGTTTAAGATTCTCGATACATGTAAATGCCTGTGGCAGTAAAAAAAGGCGGCTCGTCTACTAAAGTCCAAAAATGCCGTCGCTTTGAGCAATTCCGAAGAGTAGACAAATATTTTGATTAAATACTCCAAAGCGGCATTAAAATTAAAAATAAATTAATCAAGCGACCCTAACGTGACCAAAAGCTCGAGACAAACAGAAACAACAACAAAAACAACAACAACAACAACAACAAATCAAAATGCCATCAATGAAAGGCGTTTTTTAAGTGTCGGCCATAAAAATTAAATTGTTTTCCATATACCTGCAAAGTCAATGCACCTAAAACTGTAAAAGGACCAATCCGAAAACAGAAAATGCGCCTTATAAAAATTGTGTGTTTGCTTTTTCGAGCTCTTTTATTTTTTTTTTATTTTTTTTTTTTATAAATTAGCATAGAAAAGTGAAAGTGTGATTGGGGTCGGTGTTCGGCGGTCCGTTGTGTGCTGTCTGCAGCTGCAATCAATTTAATATATAGCGACGGCAACAACAACAACAACAATAACAATAACAACAATAACTGCGACAACAAGTTTGTATCTGGCTGGCATGTGCTGCATTTCAGCCTCGCCCGTTTTCCGAATTCGAGCCATTGGAAAATCTGCCACGAGCTGCTGTCAAAAGGGCTCGAATTTTTGATAATTACTAAATACTTTGTCGAAAGCATGACGATGCCTTCAGTCTGGCTTTTCATTTTTAAATACTGCTACTGCGAGATGCCACTTAGAGATACAGATACAAAGACAGATTCGGGAAGATACAAACATGAGTACAGCTACGAATACGGATCGAGATCGACCCAGATTATCGGCCTTATCGAGAATATATATGTAGCAAGACGATGCCTTCTGTCTGGCATTTAATTTTTAAATAATGATACTGCGAGATGCCATTTAAAGATACAGATACAAAGACAGATTCGGGAAGATTCAAGCTACGAATACGGACCGAGATCGTACCAGATTATCCGCCTGATCGAGAATATATATATAGCAAGACAAGATCCAGATTATCGGTCTTATCGAGAATATATATGTTTATAGCATGACGGGAAGATTCAAGCTGCGAATACAGACTGAGATCGACCCAGATTATCCGCCTGATCGAGAATTAATATAGTTGCCTCCTTCTGCCTGTTTCATAAATATGTACATAAACATTAAACTCTTTACAGCCATTTCAGTGGGTTCAGTGTACAAATAGCTGGGGAACTATATGTAGGGTTCATATTGTCTCCGTTTGTGTGGTGCACGGACGCGCGTGACTCGATTGACATTTGAATGAGAGTGCAAAATGAAAAAAAAAAACAAAAACGATCGTCAGCCAACGGCAGCAATAACGACAATAGAAATCAATATGCCGTAATGCATTTCGCAGCCGTGTTGCCGGTATTTCCACAATTACCTGAGAAATACTTTGATCGCAAAGGAATTTATTATCCAGTATTTAAGTTCTGTGCTCACTTCTAGTGGACAAATCTATAGTTTTGCAAAGAGATTCTCGGATAGAAGAATAAAAAATGTCTAGTTTAACCCGAAAATTGAACAAAAAGTTATAGAGTTATAGAGGTATCTATGTCGTTATATTGAGTCGATCTCTGAAATAGATAGAAACTTATAATTTATATGCCTCAACGTATGACGGATGAGCTAGAAACTTGTTATTTCAATATATACTCTCGATTATCATACGCTTGACAAATTTTTCATAATATTTTCTGTGTCTTTATATATATAAAACTATTTGTTCCGACTGACTGATTGCTGATCAATCAGGATCAGAAATCTTAACTGATTTTACCTCAGGTAATGAAGGTGTGCGCTAAAACAGAGTTTTGATATATTTCTCAATTTTCAAAAATCTCCCCACATGTTCATTTGTGTAAAATTTCACACTTTTCTCAATCCATCCGTTTCGCGATCAAATTAATTTCCAATAACATTTTTGGACGAAGCTCTAGTTTAGCTCCGATCGGCCTCAAACCTATTTTCAAAGATCAATATAAGAACTTAACGAATACAGGCTTCAGCGATTTCGAAAATTCCATTCGGATCACAGGTAAATTCACGGATAAAGGTAGTATACATTTGTTCTGTTTACAATTCGATTGGCTAGATTGTAAGTTTATCCGGTGTCTTATCGATCAGCTCGATGTTAAGTTATCGATATAGAATGAATTGAGGATCAGCTTCTAGCTTTTACTCAAAGATCTCTGTGATAATTGATTAGATACGTGTTTCGTCAATTTCGTAAAGTTTCTATCCCTCTTTAATGAAAATTACGGGTCAAAGAAGAAGGAATACGTAATTTCATGCTTTAGGTTGTTTTTCGAATATCTATATAAAATACAAGTAAAGACGTCGAGCTCAATGCTAGTGCGGATAGATTTAAATTGCCACGGACGGAAAATGGATGAAAAATTGTTTTTTTAAATTTGAAGGAAAAAACTTGGCTGGGAAATATCAGAGTATTTAACTTGCGGGTTACCTGCCTGCATTAGAAAAAGTCTCATTTCCAAATTTGGATCCTTGAGCTATGGTATTTAATACTCATTAAGGGCCCACAGTTAAGACCCAAAATAATCAAGAATGCATTTGTGCGAGCTCTGGCATATGTGTATGTGTGTGTGTGTGTTTTGTACGTATGCAGGTGGATATACACTATATGAAATACATTCACTTAGTTGACCCCTGAGTGCGCCATGATGCAAGGCATGATGCAAGGGCGTGAGTCAAAATATTTGGTCGAGTATTGCGCTCGCAAGTTGAATGCGTTTCGCACCTTTCCCTTGGCTTTTCTTCTGCCCTCATCAACACATACGAACCTAATTAATCAATTTTTTTCTACGCTCTTTGTTACTGTTGCATAAAAAGGGTTTGTTTCGGTCTATTTATCTCTCTCTCTCCCTCTCTCTCGATGCCTCTCTTCTACTGCTGTTGCGCACTCCAAAATAGGTTGTCCGAGGCAGCTAATGAACCGTTCAGTTCATTGTTGTTTATTGCTGCATTGTTGTTGTTGTTGTTGTTGCTGTTGGTGCTGCTGATATTCTGCTTGTCATAAACTAATCATTTTGGGATACTTTTCGTGATGGGAGGGAGGGTCGAAATACTCTCTAGTTTCAAAATGATCTACTTTAAAGTGAATCGTATTTAATTTATGTATATTACTGGTGGGTATTTCCTGACCTTGCTCGGGCTAGGTTTTTGCCTATAATTTCAGAAAATACTTTGCCATGCATTTCCCGCACATGACTAAAAAGTTCATACATGACATAAAACGGGCTTTGTAATGAGCTTGAAGACGAATTTTTGCGAATTAATTTTTATAAAAATATTAGAAAATGGTCGGATAGTAAACAAAATGTATTGATAAAAACGATTCCCATTCTTGTGGGTGGAATTTCCCATAATACATACATAAGAGTTGCTCTTACGGGTTGGCTGTGCGTTGATGAAGAATCAGTTAGTCAGATGTTAAAAAAAAATAATTATTAGCTGGTGCCAACATAATCCTAACTAGTAAATATAGATTTCGTTTGCCGTCCGCTTCAATTCGCGCGGGCTCCATAAAGCATTTAGCTTTTTCAAGCTAAAATT